CATCTCTGAAACATTCTGTCCCTATCCACCTTGTTGCTGTGTGCCATCTCCGAAACATCCTGTCACTATCCACCTTGTTGCTGTGTCTCATCTCTGAAACATTCTGTCCCTATCCACCTTGTTGCTGTGTCCCATCTCTGAAACATCCTGTCCCTATCCACCTTGTTGCTGTGTGCCATCTCTGAAACATCCTGTCACTATCCACCTTGTTGCTGTGTCCCATCTCTGAAACATTCTGTCCCTATCCACCTTGTTGCTGTGTGCCATCTCCGAAACATCCTGTCACTATCCACCTTGTTGCTGTGTCCCATCTCTGAAACATCCTGTCACTATCCACCTTGTTGCTGTGTCCCATCTCTGAAACATTCTGTCCCTATCCACCTTGTTGCTGTGTCCCATCTCTGAAACATTCTGTCACTATCCACCTTGTTGCTGTGTCCCATCTCTGAAACATCCTGTCCCTATCCACCTTTGTTGCTGTGTCCCATCTCTGAAACATTCTGTCCTATCCACCTTGTTGCTGTGTCCCATCTCTGAAACATCTGTCACTATCCACCTTGTTGCTGTGTCCCATCTCTGAAACATTCTGTCCCTATCCACCTTGTTGCTGTGTGCCATCTCCGAAACATTCTGTCCCTATCCACCTTGTTGCTGTGTCTCATCTCTGAAACATCCTGTCACTATCCACCTTGTTGCTGTGTCTCATCTCTGAAACATTCTGTCACTATCCACCTTGTTGCTGTGTGCCATCTCTGAAACATTCTGTCACTATCCACCTTGTTGCTGTGTCCCATCTCTGAAACATCCTGTCACTATCCACCTTGTTGCTGTGTCTTATCTCTGAAACATTCTGTCACTATCCACCTTGTTGCTGTGTCTCATCTCTGAAACATTCTGTCACTATCCACCTTGTTGCTGTGTCCCATCTCTGAAACATCCTGTCACTATCCACCTTGTTGCTGTGTCTTATCTCTGAAACATTCTGTCACTATCCACCTTGTTGCTGTGTCCATCTCTGAAATTCTGTCACTATCCACCTTGTTGCTGTGTCTCATCTCTGAAACATTCTGTCACTATCCACCTTGTTGCTGTGTCCCATCTCTGAAACATTCTGTCACTATCCACCTTGTTGCTGTGTGCCATCTCTGAAACATTCTGTCCCTATCCACCTTGTTGCTGTGTCCCATCTCTGAAACATTCTGTCACTATCCACCTTGTTGCTGTGTCCCATCTCTGAAACATTCTGTCACTATCCACCTTGTTGCTGTGTCCCATCTCTGAAACATTCTGTCCCTATCCACCTTGTTGCTGTGTCCATCTCTGAAACATCTGTCACTATCCACCTTGTTGCTTGTGTCCCATCTCTGAAACATTCTGTCACTATCCACCTTGTTGCTGTGTCCCATCTCTGAAACATTCTGTCCCTATCCACCTTGTTGCTGTGTGCCATCTCTGAAACATCCTGTCACTATCCACCTTGTTGCTGTGTGCCATCTCTGAAACATTCTGTCACTATCCACCTTGTTGCTGTGTCCCATCTCTGAAACATTCTGTCACTATCCACCTTGTTGCTGTGTGCCATCTCTGAAACATTCCTGTCCTATCCACCTTGTTGCTGTGTGCCATCTCTGAAACATTCTGTCACTATCCACCTTGTTGCTGTGTCCCATCTCTGAAACATTCTGTCACTATCCACCTTGTTGCTGTGTGCCATCTCTGAAACATTCTGTCCCTATCCACCTTGTTGCTGTGTGCCATCTCTGAAACATCCTGTCACTATCCACCTTGTTGCTGTGTGCCATCTCTGAAACATTCTGTCACTATCCACCTTGTTGCTGTGTGCCATCTCTGAAACATTCTGTCACTATCCACCTTGTTGCTGTGTGCCATCTCTGAAACATTCTGTCCCTATCCACCTCTTTGCTGTGTCTCATCTCTGAAACATCCTGTCACTATCCACCTTGTTGCTGTGTGCCATCTCTGAAACATCCTGTCACTATCCACCTTGTTGCTGTGTGCCATCTCTGAAACATTCTGTCCCTATCCACCTTGTTGCTGCGTCTCATCTCTGAAACATCCTGTCACTATCCACCTTGTTGCTGTGTCTCATCTCTGAAACATCCTGTCACTATCCACCTTGTTGCTGTGTCCATCTCTGAAACATTCTGTCCCTATCCACCTTGTTGCTGCGTGTCTCATATCTGAAACATCCTGTCACTATCCACCTTGTTGCTGTGTCCCATCTCTGAAACATCCTGTCACTATCCACCTTGTTGCTGTGTCTCATCTCTGAAACATCCTGTCACTATCCACCTTGTTGCTGTGTCTCATACTCTGAAACATCCTGTCACTATCCACCTTGTTGCTGTGTCCCATCTCTGAAACATCCTGTCACTATCCACCTTGTTGCTGTGTCTCATCTCTGAAACATCCTGTCACTATCCACATTGTTGCTGTGTCCCATCTCTGAAACATAAGGGCACTATCCACCTTGTTGCTGTGTGCCATCTCTGAAACATCCTGTCACTATCCACCTTGTTGCTGTGTGCCATCTCTGAAACATTCTGTACCTATCCACTTGTTGCTGTGTGCCATCTCTGAAACATCCTGTCACTATCCACCTTGTTGCTGTGTGCCATCTCTGAAACATCCTGTCACTATCCACCTTGTTGCTGTGTGCCATCTCTGAAACATTCTGTACCTATCCACCTTGTTGCTGTGTGCCATCTCTGAAACATCCTGTCACTATCCACCTTGTTGCTGTGTGCCATCTCTGAAACATCCTGTCACTATCCACCTTGTTGCTGTGTGCCATCTCTGAAACATCCTGTCACTATCCACCTTGTTGCTGTGTCCATCTCTGAAACATCCTGTCACTATCACCTTGTTGCTGTGTGCCATCTCTGAAACATCCTGTCACTATCCACCTTGTTGCTGTGTGCCATCTCTGAAACATCCTGTCACTATCCACCTTGTTGCTGTGTCCCATCTCTGAAACATCCTGTCACTATCCACCTTGTTGCTGTGTCTCATCTCTGAAACATCCTGTCACTATCCGCCTTGTTGCTGTGTCTCATCTCTGAAACATCCTGTCACTATCCGCCTTGTCAGTTTCTCCAGTGTCGTCAAGTCGATTTCCCTTAACCTCTCCTTCTGTATGTGTGAGAGAGAGAGAGAGAGAGAGAGAGAGAGAGAGAGAGAGAGAGAGAGAGAGAGAGAGAGAGAGAGAGAGAGAGAGAGAGAGAGAGAGAGAGAGAGAGAGAGAGAGAGACAGAAAGAGAGAGACAGACAGACAGACAGACAGAGACCGAGACAGAGACAGAGAGACAGACAGACACACAGAGAAAGATCAGTAGTTCAATGATTTCGGCCAACGCGGCCCAACGTAAGGGGCCAGGATTCGATTCCCGGGATGGAGGAGACGTACGGGCAATTCTCACCACACCCGTTACCCGTTCACCTAGCTGTGTCAGCAGACTGTTCACCCAGCTGTGTCAGACTGTTCACCTAGCTGTGTCAGCAGACTGTTCACCCAGCTGTGTCAGACTGTTCACCTAGCTGTGTCAGCAGACTGTTCACCTAGCTGTGTCAACAGACTGTTCACCTAGCTGTGTCAGCAGACTATTCACCTAGCTGTGTCAGCAGACTGTTCACCTAGCTGTGTCAACAGACTGTTCACCTAGCTGTATCAGCAGACTATTCACCTAGCTGTGTCAGCAGACTGTTCACCTAGCTGTGTCAGCAGACTCTTCACCTAGCTGTGTCAGCAGACTGTTCACCCAGCTGTGTCAGCAGACTGTTCACCCAGCTGTGTCAGCAGACTGTTCACCTAGCAGTGTCAGCAGACTGTTCACCCAGCTGTGTCAGCAGACTGTTCACCCAGCTGTGTCAGCAGACTGTTCACCTAGCTGTGTCAGCAGACTGTTCACCCAGCTGTGTCAGCAGACTGTTCACCCAGCTGTGTCAGCAGACTGTTCACCTAGCTGTGTCAGCAGACTGTTCACCTAGCTGTGTCAGCAGACTGCTCACATAGCTGTGTCAGCAGACTGTTCACCTAGCTGTGTCAGCAGACTGTTCACCCAGCTGTGTCAGCAGACTGTTTACCCAGCTGTGTCAGCAGACTGTTCACCTAGCTGTGTCAGCAGACTGTTCACCTAGCTGTGCCAGCAGACTGTTCACCTAGCTGTGTCAGCAGACTGTTCACCCAGCTGTGTCAGCAGACTGTTCACCTAGCTGTGTCAGCAGACTGTTCAACCAGCTGTGTCAACAGACTGTTCACCCAGCTGTGTCAGCAGACTGTTCACCTAGCTGTGTCAGCAGACTGTTCACCTAGCAGTGTCAGCAGACTGTTCAACCAGCTGTGTCAACAGACTGTTCACCCAGCTGTGTCAGCAGACTGTTCACCTAGCTGTGTCAGCAGACTGTTCACCTAGCAGTGTCAGCAGACTGTTCACCTAGCTGTGTCAACAGACTGTTCACCTAGCAGTGTCAGCAGACTGTTCAACCAGCTGTGTCAGCAGACTGTTCACCAGCTGTGTCAACAGACTGTTCACCTAGCTGATGTCAGCAGACTGTTCACCTAGCTGTGTCAGCAGACTGTTCAACCAGCAGTGTCAGCAGACTGTTCAACCAGCTGTGTCAGAAGACTGTTCACCTAGCTGTGTCAGCAGACTGTTCAACCAGCTGTGTCAGCAGACTGTTCAACCAGCTGTGTCAGCAGACTGTTCACCCAGCTGTGTCAGAAGACTGTTCACCTAGCTGTGTCAGAAGACTGTTCACCTAGCTGTGTAGCAGACTGTTCACCTAGCTGTGTCACAGACTGTTCACCTAGCTGTGTCAGCAGACTGTTCACCCAGCGTGTCAGAAGACTGTTCCCAGCTGTGTCAGCAGACTGTTCACCCAGCTGTGTCACAGACTGTTCACCTAGCTGTGTCAGCAGACTGTTCACCCAGCTGTGTCAGCAGATGTTTACCCAGCTGTGTCGCAGACTGTTCACCTAGCTGTGTCAGCAGACTGTTCACCTAGCTGTGCAGCAGACTGTTCACCAGCTGTGTCAGCAGACTGTTCACCCAGCTGTGTCAGCAGACTGTTCACCTAGCGTGTCAGCAGACTGTTCAACCAGCTGTGTCAACAGACTGTTCACCCAGCTGTGTCAGCAGACTGTTCACCTAGCTGTGTCAGCAGACTGTTCACCTAGCAGTGTCAGCAGACTGTTCAACCAGCTGTGTCAGCAGACTGTTCACCCAGCTGTGTCAGCAGACTGTTCACCTAGCTGTGTCAGCAGACTGTTCACTAGCATGTCAGCAGACTGTTCACCTGCTGTGTCACAGACTGTTCCTAGCAGTGTCAGCAGACTGTTCAACCAGCTGTGTCAGCAGACTGTTCACCTAGCTGTGTCAGCAGACTGTTCACCTAGCTATGTCAGCAGACTGTTCACCTAGCTGTGTCAGCAGACTGTTCTCCTAGCAGTGTCAGCAGACTGTTCAACCAGCTGTGTCAACAGACTGTTCACCTAGCTGTGTCAGCAGACTGTTCAACCAGCTGTGTCAGCAGACTGTTCAACCAGCTGTGTCAGCAGACTGTTCACCCAGATGTGTCAGAAGACTGTTCACCTAGCTGTGTCAGAAGACTGTTCACCTAGCTGTGTTAGCAGACTGTTCACCTAGCTGTGTCAGAAGACTGTTCACCTAGCTGTGTCAGCAGACTGTTCACCCAGCGGTGTCAGAAGACTGTTCACCTAGCTGTGTCAGCAGACTGTTCACCCAGCTGTGTCATCAGACTGTTCACCTAGCTGTGTCAGCAGACTGTTCACCTAGCTGTGCCAGCAGACTGTTCACCTAGCTGTGTCAGCAGACTGTTCACCCTAGCTGTGTCAGCAGACTGTTCACTACTCTAGCTGTCAGCAGACTGTTCACCTAGCTGTGTCAGCAGACTGTTCACCAGCTGTGTCACAGACTGTTCACCTAGCTGTGTCAGCAGACTGTTCACCCAGCTGTGTCAGCAGACTGTTCACCTAGCTGTGTCAGCAGACTGTTCACCTAGCTGTGTCAGCAGACTGTTCACCTAGCTGTGTCAGCAGAACTGTTCAACCAGCTGTGTCACGACTGTTCACAGCTGTGTCAGCAGACTGTTCAACCAGCTGTGTCATCAGACTGTTCACCTAGCTGTGTCAGCAGACTGTTCACCCAGCTGTGTCAGAAGACTGTTCAACCAGCTGTGTCATCAGACTGTTCACCTAGCTGTGTCATCAGACTGTTCACCTAGCTGTGTCACAGACTGTTCACCTAGCTGTGTCAGCAGACTGTTCACTCAGCTGTGTCAGCAGACTGTTCACCCAGCTGTGTCAGCAGACTGTTCACCCAGCTGTGTTAGCAGACTGTTCACCAAGCTGTGTCAGCAGACTGTTCACCTAGCTGTGTCAGCAGACTGTTCACCTAGCTGTGTCAGCAGACTGTTCACCCAGCTGTGTCAGCAGACTGTTCACCTAACTGTGTCAGCAGATTGTTCACCTAGCTGTGTCAGCAGATTGTTCACCTATCTGTGTCAGCAGACTGTTCACCCAGATGTGTCAGCAGACTGTTCACCCAGCTGTGTCAACAGACTGTTCATACACACACACACACACACACACACACACACACACACACACACACACACACACACACACACATACACACACAGTAGGGACACGGAGCGCGCGAGTCACGCCTTCCGTGCTCCGTGAATGTAAGTGTGTTTGAGGGCTACCCAAGTGTTCTGCAAGGGTTGCAAAGTGTGTCAGGGTAGTGAAGAATCCTAGAAGCGATTTTTAATCTGCCAGAGCCACATAAGTGTGGGGAGAGCCACAATTTTGTAAGTGTTAGAAAGTAAAACGTGGTGGCGCAGTCAGAGTGGGCAGGCTAGTGTGGGTGGTAAGGCGACATTGTCACGTGTCACCCAAGAAAGATAATTAAGTGAAACAATCGTGTGACCAGTGAGAGAAATACAGTGAATAGGGTACATTATTAACGAGAAGAAATTGAGGTGGATCTACGGCAGGACGTCACATCGAGCTGGACAATCTACAGGCTGCTACAGCTGCATTGCATGTACTGTATTCACCTATGAGTGGTTGTGGGGTTGTGGTTGAATGGGGTTCCAGGTTCCAATTAACCGCCAAGCTGATTGTGAATGGTCTCTCATAGCACGATAAAGAATAGGCACTCAAGTATTCAATAAGGAATAGGCGAGTAACTTACTGTAAGCTATGTGGCAGGACAAGCATAGGCAACATTGTATGTAGGTGCAGGTCAAGTCCCAGGAGGGTGGAGGTCAGGTCACAGGAGTTTGTGGTCACAAGCGACCACTGAGAATCCACATTACACTCCAACGCACAAGTCACCTACTTTTCAGACACATAATAAACCCACACATAATTACACACACACACACACACACACACACACACACACACACACACACACACACACACACACACACACACACACACACACACACCACACACACCCACACACACACACACACACACACACACACACACTCACACACACACACACATATCCAGACTCACACATACACTCCCCCCTCCCCACTGACATCTCAATCCTTCCCCTGATCCCACCCCTCCCTCTTTCACCCTCCCCCTAACCACTTCTCCCTCCTTCCCCCTCTCCCTCTCCCACTTGTTTCTCCCTCCTTCCCACTCCCCATATTCCCCCCTAAATTCCCCTCCCCACTCCTCTCCCACATAGCCACAGATCCTCCTCTACCTCCCCCCCCACACTCTGACATATACACTACTATCCTAACATACAGAATTACATAGGTTTCCCACTCTGAGGCAAACAGGATAAAACAAAAATGGGTTGCCAGAGAGCAGGAAGAAAAACCAAGGGACAGGAGGAGGAAGCTGCAAAGGAAGATTGGGCAGCAGAGCTCATAAAAAGGGAACATGAATGGGAAAAGAAACTAGAACTTAGCATGAGAATGGAAGAGAGGATATATATGGAAAGCAGGAAGTGGGAGGTGCAAGTCATAGGAGCAGAGGCTAGGATACAGAGTTTAGAAGAGGAACTGAAAAATCTGAAACAGCCTAAAGACATCAGAGACTGCTACCTCAGTCACAAATAAGGGGACTGTAGGGAAAGAAGGAGCAAAACTGCATGTAAAAGCTCTATCAGAGGAGACTGTAGTAAATGAAAGAGCTAAGCTATATGTGGAGGCCCTAACAGACCACAGCAGAGCCCAGGGAAAGCTGAGAAGGGAAAATGACAGGCCACTGAGCCCAAGTACATTAGCTAGTGAAACTGAAGAAAGGAAAGCAGCAATGGAGGAAATCAAATTGAATGAGGGGATACACAAGGATATGCAATGGGAGAATGAAAGGGTGAGGTCAGTCTTTGTGTATGGGCTCCAGGAAGTTGAAGGGGAAACATATGAAGCAAGAAAACAAGGTGAAAAAAAGCAAGTGAAAGCATCATAAAAGCAATAGGAGAAGATGATATCACCCAGCTGGAAAATTTTCGGAGAATAGGGGGGTTTGTAAAAAAAAGAACTCGGCCAGTGAAAGTGACCTTAAAGGCAGAATCGTCTCGGAACAGGATCCTGCAGGAGAAAGCACGATTAAGGGACATGCCAGCATACAGGAAGGTGTATCTCGACCGAGACAGAACACAAGAAGAAAGGCAGAAACTGAGAGAGATGGTACAAAGGCGAAAGGAGGAAAGAGAGGGGATGGAAAAGACAGACAGGAGATCCCAGACCCAGGAAGAAGAGCAAACACAGCCTCCCTCACAACTTCCTATAGAAGCCTCCCAACCAGGTCAACCCCAGTGCAACCAAACACTCTAAACCAAAACACCCATGCCACATCCAATGCTCCCACCCACTGCATTACAAACTCCACTCCCACAGCAACCACCCATAGTTCCTTATCAGGTCTCCCACTTCCCCAACCCCAATATACATCCCAGACCACAATTTTAGAAAAGAAGTTGAAGGTGTGGTATACAAATGCAGATAGAATAACAAATAAGTATGAAGAGTGGCATGAAAGAATCAAGGAGACATTCCCAGACATAATAGCACTCACAGAAACAAAGCTCACCAGGATAATAACAGATTCAATCTTTCCATCCAGATATCAAATCCTAAGGAAAGACAGAGGGAGGAGAGGGGGAGGAGGAGTTGCACTGCTCATTAAAAACCAGTGGGATTTTGAGAAAATGGAAGGAATTAATGGCACGGGCGAAAGGGACAACTTAGTAGGAACAATCCAGTCTGAGGGACATAATGTGATAATTGCAGTAATGTACAACCCACCACAGAACTGCAGGAGGCCAAGAGAAGAATACGATGAGAGCAACATAGCAATGGTCGACACACTAGCCGAGGTGACCAGGAGAGCACACATGGGGGGAGCAAAGTTACTAGTTATGGGTGATTTCAATCACAAGGAGATTGACTGGGAAAACCTGGAGCCCCATGGGGGTTCCGAAACATGGAGAGCCAAGATGATGGATGTGGTACTGGAAAACCTCATGCATCAACATGTTAGAGACACTACCAAAGAGAGAGGAGAGGATGAACCAGCATGACTGGACCTTGTGTTCACCTTGAGCAGTTCGGACATCGAGGATATCATGTATGAAAGGCCCCTGGGAGCTAGTGATCATGTGGTTCTGTGCTTCGAATACATAGTTGAGCTCCAAGTAGAGAGAGTAGCAGGAATAGGTTGGGAAAAACCAAACTACAAAAGGGGGAACTACTCAGGCGTGAGGAACTTCCTTCAAGACATTCAGTGAAAGAGGGAACTGACAGGAAAACCAGTACAAGAAATGATGGACTATGTGGCAACAAAATGCAAGGAGGCAGAGGAGAGGTTTGTTCCCAAGGGAAACAGAAATAATGGGAAGAACAGAACGAGTCCTTGGTTCACCCAAAGGTGTAGGGAGGCAAAAACTAGGTGTAATAGAGAATGGAAAAGGTACAGAAGACAGAGAACTCAGGAAAATAAAGAGATTAGCCGAAGAGCCAGAAACGAATATGCACAGATAAGAAGGGAGGCTCAGCGACAATATGAAAATAACATAGCATCGAAAGTCAAGACTGACCCGAAGCTGTTGTACAGCCACATCAGGAGGAAAACAACAGTCAAGGACCAGGTAATCAGACTGAGGAAGGGTGATGGGGAGTTCACAAGAAACGACCGAGAGGTATGTCAGGAGCTCAACACGAGATTTAAAGTATTTACAGTGGAAACAAGTAGGACTCCAGGAAATCAGAACAGAGGGGTACACCAGCAAGTGCTGGATGAGGTACATATAACCAAGGAGGAGGTGAAGTGCTGTTATGCGAACTTGACACCTCAAAGGCAGTGGGACCAGACAACATCTCTCCATGGGTCCTTAAAGAGGGAGCAGTGATACTGTGTGTGCCAATA